CGAACAAAACAGAAAAGTTGAGTAAAAAATGTTCACCTGGACAATCTTTTTACCTACCCTACACTGCAGATAATTTACATGTACCTGTGTGAGTGAGTACGTACTAATCATAACCAGGTGCATGTAAGATTCTCAATAGCCCAGTCTGAGTGTATCCTTCATAATGGATACAAGTGTTTTTGGATTACTATCCAGCTCCAGTGTCAGGGAAGGTAAGGAGTGTCTGTTCAACAATTAGAACAAAATACGGGAAGCAATGTTGAATTTCTGACTACATTTTCAGTTTAATTTTCAAGATGTGGCAAAGGTACAGGATATTGAAACCATTTTCATACATACAATGTAAGGGTTTAACAATCCCTAAGGAATTCCAGTTCTTTCAATGAATGGTATATTTGAATGTGCAATTTTGTATAAAGGAACAGCTCCTAAAGATTATAAACTTTTATAAACTTTTCCAGGAAATGCTTATCCTCTCATGTGATAAGGAAATCTTTTTATGTTTTTCAATCATGAAATTACCATTTTTAACTTTCATTTTTCCCCCTTATTTTAAAATGTGTCAACTAAGTTTATCCTTTCCACTGTATTAACATCATCGTTACTCACTGATTGATTATCTCCCCTTTCTTACAGCATTTGTGACCACAGTCCACTGGGCACACACCCTTTCATGGTCATGTAATCATGATTGGCCATGAAAGGGGATCATGTGTGCAGTTGACTGTGGTAGCAAGTGATTTATTGCCCACACTTTTCCATTGTGAGAGGTGGGAAGTATGCAGTAAGAGTGGTTATGTACATTATACATATACGGCAGCTACACTTTATACACATATACGGTGGTAGTATATCAGCTCCGGTGGCACAATCGGTTAGCGCGCCGTACTTATAGACAGTACCTTCCCCGTGCTCGACACGGGACGAGGAATGCGGAGGTTGTGAGTTCGATCCTCACCCGGAGCAGTGCTATTTTTATTGATATTTTTACTAATTGTGATCGTTGCATCAGATGTCGAAATAGTACGGCGAAAAGTATTAAAATAGACAATTTCCCCATTTGCTATCTTGTCTCGAACAAAGAAGAGTTCTGTTGTTTTCTGTATTTTTCTGAATTGTCAATGTCTACTGGTTTATACGTCACTGAAAAAAGAATTTGTGAAATTCGTAAGAAACAAATCCCTGCATCAGGGATTTATCATGAAGCCGGTCGTTTATGAAATATGCTAGCGTTCATCCTATGTATATGCTATGATAATATTTAATTGAAACATTATTTGAGACAGTAAATATGTTTATGAAGGGATACGCGTTTTTCTTTGTATAACCATGGAGCATATAACATACATTTAAGAAAATATAGCTTTTGAAAGCATGTAAGAAAATTGAAAATATATCCGGCAGTATTATATCTGCTCCGGTGGCACAATCGGTTAGCGCGCCGTACTTATAGACAGTACCTTCCCTGTGCTAGACACAGGACGAGGAATGCGGAGGTTGTGAGTTCGATCCTCACCCGGAGCAGTGCTATTTTTATAAATATTTCTTTTTATTATATCAAACGCCGAATTAGTGCAGTGAGGTGTAATAAAATTGACAGTCCTATCTCGGCATTTAATCCGGAACTCTTAAGGAAGCCAATGCTGTGTGATATTTATACTTGTTGAAAGCGGACATTATGGTGCGTTTTAAAGAAAGCTTCAATGATATGATACGGTCTGCTGCGTCATCAAGCTGCTACGGTGTTAAAACATGCAGGTTGATTTCAAAGCTAGTTTTAAATTATTGGATTTTATATTGTTTTAGTGACTATACGATATGTATCATTGACAGAAGTTTCAATATGAAAAAAAACTATAGATTGTTAATAGTAATGTTACAGCGTATGTTTATATTATATACAGGTTACTGAGACATGTAAGGGTACATTCAATACAAAAATAATCTATAAGATCTGTATATTGTACATTTTATCTTATTCATGTTTCCTTTGAATCATCTAAATTTACAGGCATCAATATTTTCTACTGTACAGTCATTTGTATATTTCATCATTATTGCTTTAAGGGAGAAGGCGAACTTTAAGTTTATTTTTGTGTCTAATCCCTTTTGTATTTTTGCAAATAAAATATGTTTAAATAAAATGGAATCTCCAACAAAGGAGAGTTCTGTTTTTTCTTGTTTTCTTCTTCTTCTGAATTTGATATTGCCTGCCAATTTATCATAGTAAATGTTTCAGAGATGTTGAATAACTCATACCAGGAAGGAGGAATTTCTTTTTCTCACCACCGGTTATAGCTTCTTCCACAAAATACGCTCATCTTGATTATCAATTATTGTTTTTTCTAAACAATAGTTTGCCTTGGAACAATTTCAACTAACGGCCATTTTTGGAATCTTGTCTGACCCAAGTGTCCGTCTTTTTTTATCTGTTTTCCTTGAACTTGATAGATTCCTTGTATGTCTTTGCTGGGATTTTTAGTTGTCTTTCGTTTGTGGATACAATTAATTTATACAATGCGCCTGTTGCTAAAATCTCAAACGTTTGATTTATTTTTTATTACCTTTGTAAGCAGTTTCAGTTTAACTTTTGTTAAATATCAATGCAGGAATAATCCTTCAATTTGTCTATGTTTAATTTGTTGGTTTGGTTTTTGTTCCGGGGTTATATAAAGACGAGTGCCCTCGGAGACACCACCGGAAAGAGAGAGTAGACAGGTGAAAAAACGAAAGGATAAGCAGGAAAGAAACGAAAAGAAATGATTCTGCCTATTGTAATCAGTTTCTTTACAGTATTTCAGATCAAAAGTATAGGTGACAGAATGTACCTATTGCGTGTCACGGTCGGTGATTTTTTTCGTGTGGAGAATGTTTTTTTTCCTTGCAAGGGAAATCAGTAAAGTACTTCAATACATATGTGTTTGAAAGTAATCCTGGGGTAAAAACAAAGTTCACTCGCCTAGAGCTAAGCACCTATATCCGGACTTTTCTTAACATGAGGAAATGGTCTTTTGTGTGAACTGTTGAGTCATTTAGTAAGTTCATCCAATTTTCTCGATTTAAGTAATATTGATTCATTTATTTGATAATGAAATGTTACTTTTGTCGCGCATATAAACACACGACCGATGATAGATTTACGAACACAAAATTTCCAATTACTCTTTATTGGCCTTTTGACTAAAACCCATTAAAAACACACATTGAAATTCTATAATATTTTATTTCTAATCCACTATATGTTTATAAAATCATTTGGCTAAACTTTCTTTTCCTAATACATTGTATAATAACACGTTTATGATAGGGGGATGTTTTCATTTTTCAATAGTGCTGCATATATATAAACATACCAAACACGGAATTGTTCGGTAAGGGTTAAATAAGTACACGACAAGACAAGTCCTTTTTGTCTGTTTGTAAATTTTAAAACATTCTTCTTCGACTTTTAAGACCATTGATAGGGCTCTAAGCCCTCTCACGGCGAGCGATAAAGGAATAGATACAATTCACTTCACAGCGATAATGGTGGGGACCTCAGGGTAGGGTCATCCAAGTCGGAATGTTAACATCACTGAGGGCAACAGGCGAAGATCTGCTGGTTTTATGTAAATACGACGTTTCGCCTCGTGAGCGCGTCGCGACAAAGCTAGCTGCTCAACAGGTGGTATACGGAATCCTACAGGTAATCACATGTGAAAAATTCGTTCAGATAAGATTTAAATTGAAAAAAAGGGTTCCATCTGGTTACCGGGCCTTATTCACTAATCATGACCGACGATATTACAGAACAAAACCCCTTACAGTCGTAAGTATGTGCTATCTAAAAAGGTCAGGTCAGAATTTTTGTAACAGTACCCAGGTTCCGAGTCAACCGGCCGCGTGCCTTTGCAAGCTGGTTCTTCTCGCGGCTGTCACACAACGTAGAGGCATTCAATTTGTGTTGTCAGATTACAACCGAATAGTCAATAATTTAATATTTGGTAGTATTGTCCAAACAATACAAACGTTTAACGTCCGTCTCCTATTTTGATTCCAAGAATGTAATTTTCACGTCTTGATGTACTTGACAAACATCGCAATTGAAGTCGCCCAAACTCAATATTAATTATTGTGGCCGATAAATATTTGTGTATATTTTGAGCTTCAGGACCTTCTCCTTCAGTTTGTGAATTGCTTTTTGTAAAGAAAGCATGTATTTTTCCTAATCAGACCCCCACCCCCGTCCAAGAAAAAATCCAAAACATTGATCTCAATATTTCGAAGTAATTGTTTCCTTGTTCGTTACCCTGATACGTTACCGTTATCTCTTGCGTATACAGACAAGGACCTCCCCAATCGGGTGTCTTCCGGTGATCGCCTTCATTCATATAGAGATTTTGATTTAAATGTCCAGTTAAGTCGAGTTCTTGCCTTCTCCTTCAAGTATTTTCACGTATGCATTCGTATCAGTTTACTACGAAATAACCATAACCATGGAATATAACGGATGTCGAACAACAAGATGTCTGCCCGTTGACATTCTGATGGTCATGTTTCTTCATTAGGTTTTTTAGACAATTCTCAAACTTCTAATGAAGATTAATTGCCTAAACCTCCGATCATGGAACAGTCCTTAGAGATATCGCATGTTAGGTAACGAGTGTGTGTATGCAAGTAACCATCAGTTTAATCCTGATAAAAACAAGGACGTAATATTCAAGTTTTGTATTGAAATCTAAATTGTTTCACGATACGGTGTCCTGGGCCCTGTATTAATGAAAATGTTCTCATGCTCAAGGTCAGATTCTGTGCTAAAACAGTATTTCTTGCTCCAGTGAATTACTGATAATAAAAAACTAATTCATTAAAATTTCATTGGCGAGTCGGAAGAATTTTTGAGAGAATGAAAACCAAATACCGTTTTCCATGTACTTGTACATGAGACCGGTTCCAGGTCTTTCTGACTGCTGCCTCTTTTGTCAACAAACCATGTTCTGACAGCACAACAAACAATCCAATTCATTTAATTGATTTTTTAATTTTTCGCAAATCAATATCACAGAAGGTTGAAAATAAAATAAATACTTCGAGACGTTGATAATGTTATGTCCTATCTATGGTTACATGTGAACTGTACATGTGAACTAAATTAAATTAACTAAACAAAAATAATTTACAGATACAAAGGAAGCAATAAAAGGAAACGTTTCTTACTTAGATGAAAATGCTTAAAAACTAATATCATCAAAATAAATTAAGACACAAATTCATTTGGAATAACGTCAAGATAGAACTAAAAATCATTAAAAAATAAATTACTACTATCAACAAACATGTATTTTGACAATAAATGCATCTTTCCTAGAAATGCAGAAACGCTAAGGACTACGAACTATCAAAATAAATATCTATCAAAATGTTGAGCATTTAAACCGCGTAACTTAAAAACCTGCAGGTGGGAAACATCTAAAAATAAATACACAGATTGTCCATTATTTGCCGTTAAAAATTCACTTTTGGCAACACTGAAGGAACATGGCGTTACAATCACGTGATAGAATCGTTTCGTGTTCACCGTTGTAGCGAGAAACCTTCCTTATTCGGCGCTGTGGATAAGACTTCGGGAATTGTGTAATCATGCCTCTTTAGAAACGTGGTACGAACTTCCGGTTTGGGGTCGATAAGAACGAACTATCGCCGAGAAACAGCATGTATTCAATCTGAAAAGACAAAAGACAACGACATATTAAACTTCCGGTCACACGACACAGGGCTTTTTTTCAGTTTCGTTCTCAGTTTCATCTTCTGATAGGTATAAATGGTATACGGTTTTTTTGGCATATTGCGAAAATACACATTTAATGACATTATTAGTAAGCATTGATCAACTGTTACAAAAACGTACATCTTGAGACTGGTTTAAAAGATGCTGGAAAATTGGATTTTACAATAAAAAATATGTCTATTGTAATTTGGAACTTGTCTTACCTCTTGCTTAGAAGTCCTATTAGTAAAATGTGACGTCACTAACGTCTTCGGCGCCTGCGCCTTTATGTCAAGTCACGCGCAAGGAGTAGTCATCCGTGGCTTGAAGGATATGGAGACAGCATCATTTTTATATCACAGAATGCTTTAGCACTTATTTGTTGTAAAGTTTAAAAAGTTTATTTCATCTGGCCAAGGAGGGCATCCTTTGGTTCGATATAATGATTGTTGATATAGATGTTTGGGCTGCCCATTGTAATCGGTCCGTCGTCCTCGTAAACAGGGGTCAAAGACGTCTGGCAACCCATCAGTATATCCGGGGACGCTGTAACCAAGGTATCGCGGTATTTGTAGCTTCCTGGCGATGCTTGTTGAGATACCGTGATGTACTCTGTAAAACATAAAAATTGATACATTTAGGTTTTATTATGACTCACTTTATTTTGTTTTTTACATGTCTATGTAGATATCACATTTTGCCGGAGGGCTTTTACTTCGTTGTGGTATAACTGTAAATAAACGTGGAAAATTGATTTAATCATAGCTGCTAAAATACACTTTTATACCTACGCTCTCTCGTACATTAGCGAGCATTCGAGGAATTTTAAATGTCGAAACGAGAGATAAAAATGGTATCTATAGTTTATTTTACTTCAGGAATGTGGTCTTCCAATTTTCTGAATATTTTATTCGTAATTTAAACAGAATTTTAGGAATTTACGTGTTTGTTTTCTCTTTTCTTACATCCCAATTATCTATGTAAAGTACTTACTATTGAAGATGACAAAACATACTTGGTAATTTTGCTAAACAGAGAGTCTCATATTTTTCAAACTATTGTACTGCCGTTAGATTTAATCCTTGAAAATATGTCAAATGTTCAGTCAAACCGGAATTTTGTATTTAAACCCCACAAGAATGTTGCATGTATTCTCAGAATGGAGACTTATTGGTTCGGCTGCGCTGAACAATGCCTATTATGTTTGTTTAACCTGTGGACAAAACAGGTGAAAAACACAGGTAAGGCGATTCCTCTGTGTAATTAGGAGCCGAGTTGATGGCCGAATCACACAACCAATTGTTAACAATTAGACCGATATATTACATGGATTAATTGCAATTCGAGGCGATCAGTCTGTCTATGGCCTTGTATATATCTGTCTATACTTTTATTAACATCTGTAAATATCACAATTATTCTGATTAACTATTCGGCTTCACCTCAAACCGGATAGACAAGTGCCACACGTGTTCAGCGACTAGGTGATATTTTGACAAATAATTTGACCTTGAAAGTTGCACTTTACTCGGAAAAAATGAAGTTGCACAATTGAAGAACATTTTATTTTCTTTAAAACAGCAAGTTATGTTTCTAATGAATTACTAGCTTTGCAGCATATGGGTGGGAACCCCCTCTCCGCTCCTAGTTTTACGAGAAGTGGGAACATAAAATGTAGTAATTATACTCCTTAGATAAATTATTGCTGAAAGCCATCCTCCCAATTTTTTACACAATAAATCTATCCAAATTATTTAAACATCGGCGTTATCTTACGATAATCTCTTCAAGTCCGACCGTTATCCACTTAAAATCTTAAAAATACAATAACTACGTTTTTATCTCGAAACAAAAGACGCAGGTGTCGACTCGGGAAGGAAAGAAAATATACTTTTTATACCAATAGAAGTTATTATGAGCCGTTGTTGATGCTTTGACGTTAAAATTTACGGTTTTAGAAACGGAAAGTTTAGATAAGATCGACAGACGTATCAAATATCCCGACCTTATCACATTACACAGGTAGGTTTTGTCAAATTTACCTGTGAGCGACGTCATATAAGGTGTGTCAGTTTTATACAGGCTCATAAATGCCACAATACAGCTGATATAGTCAGCTTTACGTTTATGAAAATAGTGACATGTATCTATAAATAAGCATTACAATTATTGAATTTAATTGTAACCGAATGCCAGTTTATTTTTAATGAAAAGAGCCATTTCATTTAAACGGACCATGAAACATAGGTATATAACATTCTTTTGATATTTATATTTTTTTACATGGTGTTGTATGAATAGTCATAAAACCTATAATAATTACCTGGTTCGTAAACGACTACTTTGTCGGAGGCCTTCTTGCAGACGAAACAGGCAAAGATAATGTAGAGGGCGATGATAAGGGAAATGAAACAAAGAATTCCCAGTAAAACCATCGAGATGAGGTACCATTCATCGCTGATCTCGAAAAAAGTGCCGCTGCCGTTGGCACGTGGGGAGATGGTAACCTCTGACCCTGGAGCAGACGACAGGCTGCTACTGTCTTTGGTAATCTGAACGAAGGCTCTGTTTATCGAGGATTTTCCCGATTCCTGATGGAAATGGAAAAAGTCTGTAAATGGACCACACTTGGTGTCATCGAAAAACCCACACGGCGTAAGTATGATGGTGTTGATTGGACATACAGCGCACGTGCGACAGTCATTAGACCATTCGTCGTAGTACAATCCATCTTCACACGGCGAGACATTTTTGCCATACACATACTCCACGGCACAGACGAAAATAGCACTGAGGGTGTAAAATTCCAACTTCATTGTGTAAAAATAGTGTAAAATCCCTGGAAAACTGGGGTCAATCACGAATCTGTAATGAAAGAAAAGTAAACATTGTTTTAATTTCTGAAACATCAAGTTGAGCATGCAAGTACAAATAAGATTTATCCCGTCGTTCAAAAAATACGAAATAGTAAGTTTTGAAAATAATGTCATGTTCGTTAACGAAAATTGTGAATTACACTGAAGCAATACTTACCACTGTCAATGAATCAGCAGACGCTATAGCACTGATGTCTTATGGATTGGTAGTCAGCTTTATAGTACTTCGGTGAACGTGTTCAGTCGAGGACGGCTACCCGAATGTCAAGTCCCCACACGTCTCGACGCTTATATCTACCTGGAACTAGGCCGGCAGTCATGACACGCCCACAGATACTGCCCGACCAATCAGACTGTCGCGTTCCTCGCAGGCAGATTATTCATGCGGCAAGGTCAACAGACGTTCTCATCGTAAACAGACGAGTGTTTTCATTGATAAAATAATAAAAACACGGCTTTGTTGAGTAGAGGTTATAAAAATGCTGAATCGAGTAAAAGTAAATTAAATAGCTGAGTGTCAAAATAAAGTCTTTTGACAAAACTGTTTGATAACTCTATCTAAAAACCACCGACTCAATTAAAACGCTTAGATAGTTAGTCAGAGAGGTACACAACAGGTGTCAAGCGACGGGCTGGGACAGGTAGCTCAATCCTTTGTTTGTGGGATAAAGTTATCCTTCGAAAACACTCGAATACGGAAACCATAGGAAACTTGTCTAGAGCTGTCGCCTCTTAAGACTATTCCTGTCTACTTTACGAAAACGGGAAGGGATAATCTTGTCCAATATAAACAACATACGATAGAGCTTTGCCACAAGTTTTCACAAGTTTTTATTTCACTCAGTCAATGGTATAAGAGAAGAGATTCTGATTGGGGGAGGGGGGTTATTCCTGAACCCTCTCAAATGCTCTATTTCCTGGTGTTTACATATAGTATTTACAAACCAATACAATGACATACACAATATTGTACATGTACATTAATAAAAGTAGTCTAACATACATAAATGCACTTTGATCTTACTTCATATTTTAATGATAGACATAATATTCTAATTCAGTTAGATGCAACAACACACATCATAACAATATAACATATTACTTTCAAATACATTATGATATAGCAAGTCACAAGTTAATATCACACATCGTAACCGTAGAGTTGTTTACAATGTTATATACTATATTGTAATATAGTAGAATGCCCTACACGATAAGTACTGATAAATACTGAACCCTTTCCCCGGATGCCACTGACCGTTGCAGACAACTTACGTTGGTGCTCAAACGGAGAAAATAGTAATAATTTTTTATTAATATATATTTTAAAGATGCTTGTTGATGTTATATAAATGACATGAAGACTTCCATCGTTATCATGCAATACAGCTATATCATTGGTCAAATTCAGCTAATTTACAAAAAAATGACGTTAATGGTAAAAATTATATTCAGTTCTACAATTAAATGAATCTTAATTACTACCCCGATGATTTCTTTTATCATACATGTGATGACTTAAGTAGACATTCTTGTGAGATATTCTCTTATTCCTATATACTGATAGGGAGATTGAGTTTTTGGTGGGGAATTTTTTTTTCCACATTTAGAATTTTGAATTGTGGCTTTATTTTTTAATTGAAAAATATTAATAAATTAATGCCATTTCCTAAACTTATCACCGATCCAATTTCCTTTTCACAGAAGACACTCACTTTGCCTATAGACACATTTTCGCCAAAAAACAGTAATTTGTATCAAAAGATTCAATTGTAGGGGATCCTGATTCTTCACAGGTAGATTAAAGTCTTAAAGGTAAAACATCAGGAAACACAGGGACCTGATAATTTGTTACAGCTATATCTGGACCGAAACTGCGAGTATTCAGAGTAACTTTACACTTACTTGTGAGGGTGTGTGTGTGTTAGATAATTTTTATAATTTAAGATAGATTTGTTATAAAGAAAGACAGATATTCATGTGTCTGTATCGTCTTCTCAGTGGTATTAAAATCGACATCACTCGATGCTTCACCAGTGAGGGATATTTTTGTTCAAATGAATTAATCCGTAATCTTTAACCGACTAGTTCCTGTGTGCAGTTATCAACATGTGAGTCAAGAAGAGGATGTCTATTTAGATTTTATCGACAATTAAAATTAATAAAATCCTGATGAATGTCCGGAACGATTAACTTATTTCTTGTTTAAAATTCTGGCTACTAATTCTCAATAGATGTGTTTTTGGGAATAACATATGAAATGCTCACGTTAATTAGCTGGTGCGTTGGTTTTTTCTTGCAGATTTCTAAAAATAAATTGCGCTTTTGTAATGTTAGATTAATAAATGTGACTATTAGAAACTGACATTTTTGGCCTGATAATAAAATGTATGCAGTTATCCACTTTTGGAGGGCGCAACTCGATACTTCACCAAAACAACAATCAATCTTGTAACAGTTATCTCCCTTCTTTCATCACCGCAATAACCCAACTCAGAAGCAACATGGTTGTGAGAAAAAACAATTTCCTAGGAAATGAATTACAAAAGGGCCCCTGCAAAGCCTTTAATAAACTAGGTGTTTTCGGGCATCAAAACAGGTATTTTCTCGGGTAACTTGTGTTGGAAAATGACGTCACCCGAAATTGAGTCTCCCCTTTTCAACATAAAACAGTCCATTTTTTTCAAACCCTTACATAATGTAAGAAAAAGGTTGTATTTTTTCACCGAGCAATATTACTGTAAGTATACACCCTACGATTCCCTAGAGAGATTATTTACGTGTAATAAATTATTTCATTTCATAATTGCTTCACATTTCTTGCAATTACATTTTAAAAATGTATTCCTTTTTAAAATTAAATCAATAATTTAAAATCTGCAAATATTCTTTCTACTTTTATCCAGCTGATACAAAGTCTCGTTATACGATATTTTAAATTTATTGAAAAATATCGTGTGACAATAAGCATTCAGTAATTTTATCGTCTTTTTTTGTACTTGATTTCATGCAACGTCATTAATTTCATTATGACCACGATTATGATCATAAAAAACGGAACGGTTATAAAAAAAACTATAACTGTAACAGTTTGGAGAGTTGACCTGTCACCTGTGAATAATTAGTTAGCTGTACCAGACAGGTAAGTGATGTTAGATGGGCTGTGAGGAGTATCTACCTGATGTCAGCTCGTGTCCCTCTCACACGTACCATACGTTTTCTAGACCTGTCAAAATCAGGACAGACGATCGACTTCGACAAGATATTGTTTTAATCCAATCAGACATAACCTAAGGGAGACATATCTTAAACTGTAACACGCTTTTACAAGAACTAGTTTTGATCAGAACTAACTAGACATAACCCAAGGGAAATCTACCTGCAATGTAAAGCTCTCTGTGACAAGATCTTGTTAAAATTAATAAAAAAACACTTTCAAAGTCTGTAGATTGACACGACAATGAGACACGGTATTGAGACGGATTGTTATCAAGTTTTTTAATATTTAATTGTTCATATTTATGAAGTTGAAAAAATTGCACGGGCAGACTGTGTTTCAACTTAACCTTACGATTCGTCATGAAATACGTTTTCTTTCTTTATAGAAATTTCAAGTGATATCAGACAAATCAGTGAAATAAAAATCAATTAAATTTGATATTATTCAATGAAATTAAAATTAATAAAATTGCATGATATTTAAATGAACATAGATGAAATTGCATGATATTCAATATAATAACAGATACATTATATTAAACATTGTTGAATGAAAATAAATATTTGAAATCAATATATTGAAATTGAAAAAAAATGAAATATAAAATAATTTTAGAAATGACTCTGAACGAATTGTCATTAAGTAAAAATAATATGTTAGTAAGATAGATAGATCTAATTAAGCTCAATAATTAGTTGTAACGGTAAACGAGTAGGTATTGAATTCGAGTATGGTTCTAAAATTAATTTTACATAATAAATTGGTAGGCATATGTCGTCGGCTCAGATAGCTTAGCCATATGGTTCCCTAATTGACGAGCATTATCAGCCCTAATGACTAAATCCTAACATAACATTTTCTTCTGCTAAAATAACAAAACATCGGATTTTGAGGAGTAGGTAGCTTATATTTGTCCAAGAATGTTATTACAGCCCGCTGTTGTGACTGACCGGTCTGACGTCAGGGGTGTCAATCCTCACACCTGTAGCCACCCCTATGTCAGAATTAACATTCGGACACTGGTCATCTGGTCATTTTATCACACTTTGGCCTGTTTGATCTCCTCCATACCATACCATGAGTTTAAATCTGTCATATGTTTTCTCTTACTTAATGAAAACCAAATTAACATTTAATTAGAAATTAGTCTCTAAATAATTACTCGTTCATTTGCAATCAGAGTCGGTATTTTATTAGTATTCATTTCAATTAATAACAGCAATGAAGAAACAAAAACACACGCGTTTTAATTAGGGGTTTGTGTAATCTTGGTAAATATATAAGATTTGCTTTTAAGAAGCGCTCTCGGTCACTATCGTGTATGTGATACGATTATATACAATTGTCACTCTCCTGTACATCATTACTCTGTTTAACCTGGTAATATGTATTAATATTGTGTTTTGTATCTTATAAGTCGTAAGGCTTACAGAATAAACTAGTTGAACTGATTTGACAGCAAACTATATATTTTTATTTTTCTGGAGATTCTCCAGAAAAATGTCGTCAATATCAATATTTGACAATTGAAAGTGGGATTCTAATTCAAACTTAATTTGAGCTTACACAACTCTTGGAACATGGTATGCATTACACTTAGTATCTCCAACGTCAGAATGATGACATATGTTAAAATAAATATACACGAATATCAACAATTGTATAGGCTTATTACATACTAACAATGATAAATGCAGTGAAATGTGGCGAATTGTACAATTTACTTGCTATTATATAGATAACAATATAATTGCGTTATATACAAATTGAGTGAGAATGATGATGATGATGATGATGATGATGATGATGATTGTGACAAATTATAAAACTAGGGTGTGTTGTGCGCATTTGTATAACTATGTATGCTTATATGTATTTATTATGCCATCTTTGTAACTAACATTTTGTAATTAACCTATAAGCTGTAAATCTTAAGGAATAAAAAGAAATGTAACTGACTCTCAAATTTGCCAAAGTTAAATATGACAGGTAGACATACTCTGTTATTTCCGATAAAAAAATCACGGATTCTGTTTTCTTTTTGCTCCGACTTAGGGT